CTTCGCTTGAACACTTTGAACAAACGCTTCCTTTGAAGCTTAAGGAGGGCAAAGAAGCGCTAGCTGCTTGGGTCTCCAAATTGTCGTGGGGTGAGTTGAAGAGTGAAACAGTTGCCTCGTATCAGCGTAACGTTGCTCAGGCTCTTTCGAACGGCTCTAGCGACTCCCTGGTTGGAATGAATATTTCAGTTCATAATTGGAAACCGCTAAACTGGGCCGTTTCGGACAGGCGCTTGCCTGACACTCTTCGCATTTCTGAGGTTGTGACTTATTACCGCTGGAATTTGGTGGTGAACGTCGAAGACGTCGTGACGAAGGAGGAGTATTCCCTTAATATCCCCATCATTCATATGGAGGAGGGACCAGATTTGGAGGAAGAGGATATTTATCAAGCGATGGGCTTGGCGGCTGCGGAGGAGAAGGAATCAATGCTGCAGGCTTGCGGTAACACTCCGGGTGAGTTGGCGGCCTCCCAGAAGGGCATAAAAGTTGCACTCTACACTGGCGAAATATCTGGTCTCGACCGAACTCATTTGGAACGGCACCTAAAGGTATATAATACTGTATCATTGATGGAAAAGGTTGTTGGGGACCTCGGATGTCTGAGATATACAGCAAGGGAAGTCGAGCAAAAGGCGCGGGATTACATCGCCTCGCGTTTGTTGCAGATAGTGATAAAAGTCGAGCTTTCAGGAGTTGGTCATCTGCAGCTTGACTGGGACTCCTTGTTTTTGCGTGAAGACGGTTCTTTTTTCTTGGGGAATTTTGGGAGCGGCGCTCCTTTCGGAGAGGAGATATCCCCCTTAAGGGGCAGTGTGGCATTGCAACAAGAACCTGCTGTAATGTCGCATTATGCCCACAGTAGCGCCTTTGTAGCTGAAGCTAAAGTAAACATGTGGGGCCTAGGGATTCTTCTATACCAGCTCTACACGGGTTATGACCACCCCTACGGAGTTGTGGAGGGGCTGGACTGGGCGGAACAAGCAGCAAGCCTATCAAAGCAGCTATTGGATAGTAGGAAACGTTCTCAAGATCTGATTCCGCAGTTGGAAGCTTCAAAAGTCCCAAAGAGGTGGGCGCAGCTTATTGTGCGTCTGCTGGAGCCCAGGAGGATGCACAGGATAGGCGGCTTCCAAATTCTTCAAGAGTTTCCAGACCTGCTTGACAATCATGCTGACTAACCCCTCTGTCAGCGGTGAACCATTGATTCAGCAGGCATCACTGTCGAGGACCGGGTTCGTCGTAGAGGGGATGACCCTTGCGTTACTCTACGTACACCTGTCCGTGCCTCGATAAGCTAGGAACCAGCACAGTTTTCCGACCCACTGCGCTCACAATTGTGCATGCTATTAAAACCGTTGTAGTTTGCACGTTTTAAGGTCCAGCATGTGATTGTACACGCAGTCACTTGCTTTGCAGGTTTTTCGCTAGCTTCAGTTTGCTCTCTGCATTCAAGCGCCCGGAAAACACCAGGTGGTGTCCTTCGAGGCCTTTGAACTTTGCAACCTTGACGAACGTCCTTTCCCCAAGCGGACGATGGTTAGCGTATATTGTCAGATTGGGAACTTGGGGGCAGCAAACTCCCCAAAGTTCAATTTAACTCCGATGGTATCTGCCTGATCAGCTCTTTGTGTGTGATATTACAGTTGCGGAGTTCGCGCTTCGCGGCGCATCATTCATAGTTCGCTCGTTGCCAGAGGTGGCACTTCTGATTGCTTTTATTGGAGCCGGAAAGGGCCCTCGTTACATTCATGGAGGTATTTGCTTTTAGTGGTCCCTGTGTAGACGTGCATGTAGCTTTGCGTGTAGTAGGGGTTGACGAACGAAGAATTTGGTGTTGGCAAACATGCACAGGTTGGGATGAGGTGAGGCAATTTAGTGAACGCATCGAATGCCGTAAATGCGATGTAAAGGATTTCCATGCCGTCAGAGAAGNGTGAGGCAATTTAGTGAACGCATCGAATGCCGTAAATGCGATGTAAAGGATTTCCATGCCGTCAGAGAAGCTTACGGTCAGGTCTTGAAAAATGCTTGGCCATCGCCAAGAAGGGTTACTGAGTGGGTGCAGCGACACAGCTGGTTAAATGGGCAACGGCGTTGTACCGCAGGCGAATCAGTTATTGGGTATGAGGCGTGCTGAGGACACCGCGACGATGCCTCTGTAACTAAGTTGTCGCACCGTTTGAAATGCGATTACAAGCCTGGAGAACCTGGATAAAGAATACAGTCATCTTACTACCCGTGGGCATATCGGCTTGTGAATCGGCTTTCCGTTGGTTAGCTCGTTGGCACCCAGCACGGCCCGCGAATTGGTTAAGGCTGTGACTCTATGAACAGCAAAAGATGCTTTGTCTTATCTTACGCTCGACGTATGGCAAGCAGTAGTGAAATGCAAGGATACAAAAAAGGGGACCAAAAGCGAACGCAATTTACTAGGACATTTATCGTAAAGTATTTTTATCACTTATACTATTCCAGTGAATAATCTTTATTACACATGTGATTTGCAACGACATTACACACTGTACCAAAGTGGTATTTTTTAGTATATTATGCTAGTTGCAGAAACAACTAAAATAGTACCATCCATTTGGGCTGCCCCTGTAATCATGTTTTTTATATAACCTTGGCCACACGCAATGCGCTTCATTTGCACCTTGGAAACTTGTCGGCTCGAGAATCCAATAGGGGATTCGTCATGCCTGAGTACAGCTTCACCGGCTTGCAGCAAGCCCCCCATGCATGTGACCGTAGCACAGTGGTATGCTTGTACCATATGCGCGTAGGCTCGTATGATTGGTCGAGCATTTGCGGTGCAACCTAACTGTTGGCTTGCTTTTTTGCTTCAGTTCGAAGGGTGTCGCCGCTCTGACTAGCTGACTAGCCATTCCAATGTTGCCTAGCAATGCACATTCAGGACCCATTGAGTTATGGCATTGAGTTCTGGCATAAGTTCACAGTACCCAAGAACCGGCATAGGTACGCGTCGTTAGGCGATGCAGTACGCGCTGCGCCTGAACCCAGCGCAGCCTAGATGGGGTTCATGTGGTCTCCGCCTGAAACGGGACTCTGAGCTTGTCAGACCAGCAATGGAAATTGCAAACGACAATCAACGAACCCCAAGTTTTCCAGTCAGACCATGCAGCATATGTGGTGAACAACACTACTGAAGGGATGGTTCTAAGAAGGGGGAGATTGGCTGTTCATCATGCGGGCGGTGAATGCGAGTTAAAAAAATTCCGGCTGCTTGAATAGATCTGCTTTCGTGCACAGCATGAGCCTCGTTTCACGAGAGAAAACATCCGGGGTTTGTTCACTTAGCAGCGAACAAACCGCCTAAACAAAGGCTATTTATTGGTGACCAATGCTGCAGCTCCATCAATCAGGTCACACACAGCCGTTCCACCTCGATCAGCCACATATCAGAGCCAAACAAGCGTGTCTGGCAAAAGCAGATATGCGAGGGAACCACCAACACGAGGCCAACAACCTTTCTCTCAGGCACGGGAGCGGAACGCCGCATCATTTCTGACCAAGTTTTAGTCAGCAACGAATTCCTTATTTACCCTCTTGAGCAGCCGATTTGGAACGTTTTCCGGCAGCACCTGCAATGCCATTGCTGTTGTCTTTGGATCTTTCCAGCATCAATAAAAAGACAATTGTTCTCATCAACAGCCTTTGGTGCCGAGCAAACACTGTTTCCATATTATGGCTGGCGTGCACTGGCTTACAACTGAACCGAAAATTGACAGGTTTTCCTCAAAGCGGCAGCTTGAGCTGTAAACCACTTAGATGTCCGTAACACATTTGCAGCTGCCTTGATTTCCAAGTTTACGGCGTAGTGCTTCGATACTACGCCGCTTGAGAAGCCCTAATCAGACCAAT